AAAGTATGAACAATTAAACAAAAACAGATTAGAACACTGTAGAAACCAAGAAAACTTTTTTTCCAGTGATCAGCTCTCTACTAATGATTAGGCCGGGGAATATCTTGGCCCAAAGCATTTCAGAACACTCCTCCAGAAAAAACAAACAAGCACGACACTGGAGGGGGGCCAACTCTAAGCCAGACTGACTTTCCAGAAACAAGGTTTTCCTTTTGGTATTTCTGCTTTTTCAGTTTTCGACTTAGAGAGCAAGAGGTTGTAATTCTGTTTTGTTTTGCTTTGTTTTCCCCCAGGATAAGTATCATTGTGTTACAGAGATGACAAAACCTGATTTTTAAACTTCTTTTTTAGTCTGGTCATACCATTTTCATTTAGATCATAGATGTAAGAAGGTTCAAAATTTGGCTGTCCATTTGAAAGTCAATTCACTGTTACAGAAACAGCAAAGAAACAAGGATCAAAATCCTGCTTCTTCATCTGGGGGTATTAAAACAGAGAGCAGTAGTAAAATCACAAAGAAAAATCAGGTCTGATCTGAAATGCAAGAGATCCAGATCAGCTGAAAAATATTCCATTATCTTCATATTCATTTATAACTGTATACTGCAGTTTACCAAGAGTAAGAATGTAAGGGTTTAAGAACTTACTGGACCATGTCAGCTACATAGTCTTCCAGATAGCAGCTGTTGAATTTCACCAAGTTCACTAAAACCAGAAGGAATTCAGAAGACAAGCCAACATCCATCCACTGCAGTACAAAGTCAGCTAAAGGAGGAAACCAAGGTGTTACTATATGCTTTTTACCCAGCAGCATTATCACTGTTCATTTCTATTCTCAGGGCCAGCCTGTCGCCTGATTTGTTAAAATCAAGAGGGGTAGAGTTGATACGAACCCAATTCTTCCTCCAAGTAGGTTATGTATCGTCCATTCTCTGTGAGAGCTTTGAACACTTCAAGTCGTTCATGTAAATCTTCATTGGATGGATAGTCCTTAATCACCTTAAAAAAGTGCGCTCTGAGGATCCCTAATCTCTCCCCCTTTAAAAAAGAGACAAACAACTGTGTAATTAAGCAAAAAGGCCTAGACCAAATCACTGCCTGTAATAGTGATTTAGAATTTCATGCTTGAAATTCTTCTTCCTGCAGGCTGTGAAAGTCTCCTGGGGTACCTCCACTTCTACTGGCTACTGACACCGGCTCAGCTCTTTTCTATACGTTCTGTTTATTTCCCTGTACTCAGGGCATTTCATTTAACACCGCACAGACAGCACCCAATACGCATGCAATTCAAGGGAAGTGTGACAAAAATCTTTGCCAGGAGAGCGTTAAGGAAAAATAGGGGAATGAATGTCTGCTCTTTTCCTATGCATCTATGCATCCCTAATTTGCAGGATTCTAGGAATCTTGATCTGCTACAGTGGGACATTTGAATAGCACACTATGAAACTTTAAGAATTTATAGCATGCGAGGCTGGGAGAGCATCATGTACAGAACTTCTTGCACATCTGACATACTGAAACATGAAATCGTGTTGCAGACCAGGATTGATGCATCTGGGGAAGCATCATATAAAATTTACTTGCTAGGCCGGAATTTAAACTCAATACATTTCCTCTTTAAGGAGAGCATTCCCAGTCCCCACACTCTCCCTCTCCCAAAAAGCTTTTCTTGCACTATGACTTAGCTTAAAGGCTGCCTCATACCATTTATTCAGGACAATCAAAAAAAGATACAGGGAAAACTGCAGAAAAGAGGAAGCCAAAACTTTTCACAATCGTACTCTGCACAAACTTGGTTTAAGAAAGGTCTTCTACAGATTTTTTTTTTTACCTGTCCTTGAATTATTGACTTTAGCAGATGAAGAACAGCATGTCTGGCTTCAGCTGGGCGCTCTGGCTGCAGCATATCAGCTACCACTTTCCATATTGCTTCCACTGCATGCTGAAAACAACCACAGGAGAAGGACAATAGCAGGAAAACTAAGCTGCTTCCAGAGTGTTTACCTGGTCAGTCATTAATTACGGCAAGTAAATGAACAAGATCTCCAGGAATTTTATGCGCAGAATTCTCTTTTCTGACAGATGCTCCTACCTTACCTGTTGTAGGCTCAGATGAACCATGCACGACGTAGCAAATCCTGGCCTAGGCTGTAACTCACACCCTCGTAACTCAAGTTCTTCATTTACACCCCTATTTCAGTGCAAACACAATCTCATTTAAAACTTGAGTCAGAAGTACTTGCTAGAAAACTTCACCACACAACGCGACCACGTGTAAGTTTATTCACAGGTCAGAAAGAGCTAGTGACCATCATCTTTACAGGACTAAAAGCATCTCCTAGGAAGTGTCCAGAACAGGTCTGAACATTCACAACATTGTCCCGTTTAGTTCAGGAAGCTGGTCAGCTACATCCTCTCTGTTCCACCTTGAAACACTGGACAAGACCAATTTCTTTGGCACAGGGACTTCTATAGGCTTGGACTGCACAGAATGCAGCTTCTTGGTTAACCATTTTCAAGAGGCAGCCTAAGTGATATGAGTTTTCTACAACAAACCAAGAACTGCTGCTTAAAATATTTTAATCCTCCAAATATTCACTGAATACATTAAAACTTACCTCTTCGATTTTTTTGGTTTTTGCCACTTCACAGATTTGTCCAATTGCTCGTATCCTATTACTCAGTCCACATTCTATGCTCAGTTCCTGGAAAGAAATGAGTAACTTAACACTTCATATTATTAGAAACACTTTTACCCATTTCTCAAAGGGGATCATGAGCCACTGCAACATTAACTACATGTTTGTCCAAACTGACCTAACTGTCAGTCATTACTGGAACTGTTCGGGAATTTCTCCAAGAAAATGTCTTTCCATTAGCAAAAGATGACTTGTGAAATCTGGAACTTCCACAGAACTGGAGTCAAGCAGCTTTTCACATCCAGGACAGCAATTCTGTTCGTGGAAAATTGCACTTTCTTCAGAAAACCAGTAACTCTGGTGGTGGCACTTGCCCAGCACACGTGAGACGAAGGAGGGACCTAAATCTGGCTCTGCGCTCTCCAGCTCACACTTGGGTCCTCCAGCACAGACAGGAAAGGATTTGTGTTTTTTTCTCCCTGATGTGTTTTTTCCTCCCTGGGTGCAAACTATGTTTACAGACTTGCTGGACCAATTATTGGATTTTTTTTTTATTAAAACTGTGACTTTTCCTGGAAATGGACCGCTGTTACCAGCCTGCCCCAACCACCACCACAAAGACTTCACTGAGCAAGCTCGGGCTATAAAACTAGAGTCAAGGAACCGTGACCAAGGAACACTCTGAGGAAACACCCTGCACACCCAGGGAATAGATGACAATACCCCTCAAATACCTCAAAACTATCCAAACACTGAATAATTAGAATGCAGCAGCCTCCCTTCACAGCACCTAAGCGTTACATACATTTTACTAGATAATGAACTGAGCAGTAAGGAAAATTAACAGCAAGTTCAGAGATGGAATGAATGCAAAACTGAAACGAATGAGCAGGTTCTTCTTGCAGCAGTGGTAGCCCCTCCATCCCTCCCTTTGCAGCTGCACCAAACCCCCCACCAGCTTTGCTGCGACTGCTTCTCGCACCTTGAGAATCTCCGCAGTGATGACGAACTCCGTCTGCTTCCCCTCCGACGATTTCGAACTTCCCCGAGACGTTCCCAGCCCCAAGAGATTCCTGAACTTCTCCTTCAGGCCGGAATCCTTGCTCTGTGGCTTTGCCATTGCTGACGAGGAGGCACCGCGGAGTCCCTGTAAATACAGAGCAGTTACTGCTGGGGAGGCCACGCAAAAACTTTAGGCAGAAAGGCACCAGCGAGAGGCTTCCCAAGGCGGCCCTGCAGACAGCTCTGCCCCTCGGGCCCCGGTGACGCGGCCACGCTCGGTGACACGGCCACGGCCGCGCTCCCCCACGCCACAGGACGCCGCCGCCCCCGGCTGAGCGCCGCACTGCCCAGGGACACAGAGACCTGCCCCCGGCCCAGGAAGCACCACGGACACCCCCTCTTCCCAAACACCCCGGGGGGGCATCATAGCCCCCCCTTCCTTATCCCTGGGACACCACAGACCCACCCCAGCCCCCCCAGGGGTCTTCACGGCCCCCTCCTCACCCCTAAGCGAGGGGGTGTGTGTGACACTTCAGCAAACAACCTGAGGGGCATCACAGCCCCCTCCCCTATCCCTAGGGACACCACAGAACCCCCCTAACATCCCGGGGGGGCATCACAGCCCCCTCCCCTACCCCTAGGGACACTGCAGACCTTCCCACTGCCCCCAGCAGACCCCACAGAC